AAAGTGTGTCCCAGGGATTGATATTGCGAATTGGTAAGCCAAAAGCTCTACCATCAAGGTGTAAGCCAATTCCTGTTCCTGTTCAGGTCTCATAATGGCGTTGTGGTAAAGGTAGAAAAAATGGGATGAAAATTAAGCTCTCGAGGCGGGATCTTAAGGTGCCAAAAGATGGCCGCGACCGCAGTTTTGGGTAAACAGAGGTCAGTTGTAGATGAAAAATATGATTAAGATACGAGAATTGTTCCGCGGTTAGCCCAATGGCTGAATTCTGTACAGGGTAGTTTTATTCTTGGGAATGGAAATATGACAGAGGACACACAGGATTGGGGTGCAAAAGAGGGAAGAAAGGAGAGAGAGGGGGTTTATTGAAGTGAGGAGATGGAAAGAAGATGAAGAATGAGGATGGGTGGAAGGAGTGCGGTAAGTGTGTAGGGAGGATGATGAATGCTGATAACTGGGGGCGAGAGAGTGTGTGAGGGAAGGGGGGGGAGGGGAGGGCGGTGGTGGTGGATAATGCGGGCCCAGAAGTGAATACAGTAGTACAGCAAAAATGTCTTGTGGTTTGTCGTGGCGTAGAGCAATTTTAATACCTGCCCCTTCCAACTTTTCCACGCCCACACAACCTTTTCCACCCCAATAAAGGTCCAGGACAGCTTGATCTTGGGTAAAGGTTCCGGGCATGATATCGGTAACTAAGCTAAACCTGTTGGAGTACAAGAAGGATACCGTTAGTGGATTGCCGTTATGGTGGTGCTGGCTGTGGTTGTGGGGAGAGAGGTGGTGGGGTCGAGCCGCAAACCACTTTTCCAGTGGTTGACGGACCAGGGGTTCCTGAAAAAAAAAACTGTTGGGAGCTAGCCTGCATCAACTCGAGTATCATAGCAATATTGGCTTACTGTAGTTTCTTTGAACTTCTATGCTCTCATAATTTGAAGGATTCGAGTTCACAACAATTTTTCTCTTTCTGTACCCTGACCCACTATGTCATAATTTGCCTTTTCCCCTAAAACGTTCAGAGCTCTGCGGTGAGCGAGGTGAGCAAGTATGTCAGGTAGATGGTATAATGAAAACACGTATTTGGAGCTTCAGCAAGTAAGATCTTGAACTCAATGTCTGGCGTTATGGAGACCGGTATCAAATGGCGCAAGTCAGTATACACCGCGTCGCAGCAGAAGTTTTCTGGGCGCAAAATTACGATACATTCGGCAACGATGAAGCCGACCCGTATCATAGATAAATTTACCTTGCTCGAATACCTGTATGGTGAGGCGTTGTATGGGTGCATATTCTGTGGGTGTGCAGTAGATAAATAAATAGGCTAGATATCATAGTGCTGATCAGAGATTGAAGTGCGAGAAAGGCCCTCCCTAAACAATGATGGGTGATGAGGGAGGATTATACGGGGCACTATCCCAACAAGTACGACCCTACGCTTTTTCCTCTGAAACTCTCATGCTGCTCAATGGTCAACAATACGTTCCCCGTGCTCAATGCTTTGTCTGGTTCCCAGAGGATTAAAGAATTCAACAAGTCCATCAAGACTAATATCCGATTACAATTTCTAGTCCCATCTCGTGTCCTCAACCTGGGGCGGGAAGATTGATTGAAATGATTAGCCATTAGGATTTTTGGCGGGTTCGGTCAAAGGGCAGAGCCGCGGAGCTCCAAGAGGCAAGGGGATGATGGGTGGAAGGTGGTCAGAAATCTCGGATTGCCGTATCTTGACCGACCGGGTTGGTTGCGAATGGTTCGTTGGGGGACATTTTCCTTCCACTCGAGTATTATGGCGGAAGGTGTTCGCTGCAAGGATGCGCGAAAAACTCGCGAGTCAGGAACACTTTGCACGGTCGGAACGAGCCCGGGAAGGGGGATAAAACGCCCTGATGTCTTGGCATCCAAGCTCTCAACATTTTGCCGAAACTTACCCTAGGACAGGGATTAGCATGTTAGCTCACGCCCCTCCAAGAAAAAAAATTTAAAAACATTGAGACGGAATGCAAGGGAAAATTGTGTGGAATGAAAGAGAAAGAAAAATGGCACTTCTGTCTTCTACTGTAACTCTGATTCCTGAGCTACTATAGCAACCCAAGTTCCCGAGAGACACGACAGAACTCTCCTGCGTTTCAAAGGCACCTCTCTACGCACACGTGCCCAACTGTGCTGTACAGTACTGTACGGTACTTGCACACCTCCGAACCCCCTTCCAATCCCCCCCAATACCAAATTGATTCATAATCTTCTCCCCACCGGCCCCTCACCTTTTCTACAACCTGTCTCCCCATCATCCTCTCATCCTAAAGCTACGGTGTCTTCTCTAATCAAACCCTTCACAACTTAAGGGTAACCCTAGAATTCCCTCCCATACGTTACCGATTTCCTCTGCCGTTGCCCCTTTACTCCGCTCGTTTTTTCCTTACGAAACAGTAATAGATTTGGTGGCTAACTCGATTCATCTCAATTGTGAGTTTTTCATCCGGTGTTTTTTTCTTCGGTTCTTCCCATTACCACCTCCATCCGACCCCGCTATCCGCTGTATTCGAATTTGCAGTGAGCTGCGCTGATTACTGGTCGCAGAGAACCCTCGCCGAACCTGACCAATTCCCTTCTACTGGGCAATCTTCGTCATGTACGGCGCACCGGGAACCACCACTGGGGTCACTACCCCTCATTCCGCATCCTCTCTCCGCCCTCTCGTTCTCAATCATGGCTCACTTGAGCATGCTCTCCTCATCCCCACGACCCTTCATTATCATTCAACTGAGCTTCGCCAGCGATTTGCCTCTCAACTGCCACCTCCTACAGACGAATTTGCTCTCGACGAGGAGCCATCCTCGGTCCCCGAGCTTCTTTCTCGGTTTTTGTCGTTCGTTACACAGCAGGTTACGGAGGGGGAGGATGACGCACAGGGAACCTACGAGGACGTTTTACAGCTTGTCCTGACCGAATTTGAAGGCCGTTTTCTGCGGGGTAACGAAGTTCACGCTGTGGCCGCTCAATTGCCGGGCACTCCGGCCAAGAGACTGGATGTAGTCAAATCCTACTATAGTGCTCGCCAAGCCGCCAGCCGACCCATAAAAGCACACGAATCTGCTCTGTTTCGTGCTGCCACCGAGCAAACCGCCGGCGTGTATGCGGTCTTCGGAGGACAGGGAAACATTGAAGAATACTTTAACGAGCTTCGAGAGATCTTCTACGTCTATGGGGGATTGGTTGAAGATTACTTGGTGTATTGTGCCCGGATACTTTCGTCGCTCTCTCGGGTTCCCCGTGCAGGCAAGGTGTATTCTAAGGGACTTGATGTTATGAGATGGCTGCAAGATGAGGAATCCACCCCCGATCTTACTTATCTTGTTTCTGCTCCAGTGTCCTTCCCCCTGATTGGTCTGGTTCAACTGGCGCATTACTATGTCACGTGCAAGATCCTTGCTAAAGAGCCAGGGGAACTCCGAGCAGGGCTTGCGGGTACAACTGGTCATTCTCAGGGCATCGTTACCGCAGCTGCTATTGCATCTGCATCGACTTGGGAATCATTCCATCATATCACATCCGACACTCTTACCATCCTTTTCTGGATCGGTTGCCGTGCCCAGCAAACGTATCCCCGCACCTCACTAGCTCCTAGCACTCTTCAAGATTCCATCAATGAGGGTGAAGGCACTCCATCGCCCATGCTGTCGGTACGTGACCTGTCTCAAGCGCAGGTTCAACACCACGTCGATATCACCAATACGCATTTGCCCAAGGATAGGCATATCCACATCTCCTTGATTAATGGTGCGAGGAATGTTGTCGTAACCGGCCCTCCCCAATCGCTTTACGGCCTTAATCTTAGTCTGAGGAAAGTCAAAGCGCCGACCGGATTGGATCAGAATCGTGTCCCTTTCACGGAGAGGAAGGTTCGTTTCACAAACCGTTTCCTGCCTATTTCGGCACCGTTCCACTCTCCTTACCTCGAATCTGCAACTGGTATCATTTTGGAGGACCTTAAAGAGATAGGGACTTTCACCAGGCAGGATCTCGCAATTCCTGTTTTCCACACCTCCACCGGTCGGGACCTCCGTGGTGGTTCAGGCGATGAATCAGTCATTTCCGAATTAGTGAATATGATTACTCAGCAGCAGGTTCACTGGGAAGCCGCGACGGTCTTCCCCGGGGCAACCCACGTCCTTGACTTTGGTCCTGGGGGCATTTCCGGACTCGGTGTTCTGACCCACCGCAACAAGGATGGCACTGGTGTACGCATAATCATCGCGGGCGCTTTTGAGGGCACAAACAATGAAGTTGGATACAAGCCGGAGCTGTTCGACAGAGATTCTGAGCACGCAGTCAAATATGCAGTCAACTGGCTGAAGGAGCATGGCCCTAAGTTGGTACGAACAAAACAGGGGGAGACCTTCGTTGATACCAGATTTTCTCGGCTGCTTGGGCGGCCACCTGTAATGGTCGCCGGAATGACTCCTTGCACTGTGCCGTGGGACTTTGTTGCAGCAACTATGAATGCCGGGTATCAGATTGAATTGGCCGGTAAGCTATATCATTTTCTCAACTTTTGCATACCCTGTGCTGACACAGCTTGGCAGGTGGTGGCTATTACAATGCCAGGGGTCTTACCGCAGCTCTTCAAAAGATTGAGCAGAAAACCATCCCCGGTGCCGGTATCACGGTGAATCTTATTTATGTGAACCCCCGAGCTATGGGATGGCAGATCCCACTTCTTCAACAGCTTCGTTCAGAGGGTGTTCCT